GTTGTGGGAGGCCCCATAATTGTGAGGGGTTATAACCCATGCCACTTGGGGACCACATCCAATCGATTGTTCCTGCCACATGCACGCTAAAAACTCGAGTCGCGCTAACAGCCTTCAATTGGCAGGCAGCAACCTAGCTTTCAGGTACACACCACTGACACTTGAATGCTTCAGCGCTCTCATACTCCAATACTTCACTACTTGAATACTTTTAAATGAACATTTCAAGTTCAACATATATCAACCTCAATCACGAGCATATAACAAAAAATTGTTCGTCATGTAACTCGTAGGAACGCAGTGACCGCATGGAACTGCGATGACATCATGGTTTTCGCAAAAAATATACATAAAGCACAGAGCTAGGCTCAACTGCGACCAGCAAGCAAACATCTCTTCATAAGGAAGAAACCTTCTTGAAGTCCATACTTAAATGGACGTTGTGTTGGCCCTGCTGCGTGTCCATATCCAGAACAAAGCAGTAAACCAGTTCGATTTTTTCTCTCAATGGGAGACCGCGAGGAGGCGCGCTGTGGTTTGACCACAAAAGCCGGCCGGATATGTTGCTGGTTTGAAACAAGAGTATTTAAGGCAGTAATGTTAATGTGTTAATAAAATATGCATATTTTTGTTTCTAATGATCCCATAAAGGATGACACTCACTAATAATCTGAAAGCTTGTGCTGGTTACTAATAGAAACATCACAGTCGAGACCAAGGGGCATATGATCGAGTCTCCTTCAATCAAAATGAGGAGAAGGAACGGTTGACGGGGTGAGGAACTGGAGGACACGACACGCCAACAAATGAGCCTCATCCAACAGAAGCACTGACAGTCGTGTGTGTCAAGTAATGCATTATAGAGTGAGTGCCGAATCATGCATTAGAGTGTGTGGCAAGTCATGCATTAGGGTGTGTGCCAAATCACGTATTAGAGTATGTGCCCATTTACAAATTGGCGTAAATGCCGTATCACACATTACTCTATGCTTCAGTGCATACCAATGGTTCTGAAAACTCTTCTCAAAAATTTGCTGATGGTGAATTTAATACAACAGCCTTAGAGTGAGAACCCGTAGGCCGTACGTGATACGGGCACGTATAAAGCGTACACGGAGGTGGGCAGTGGTGCAGGCTCTCCCATGTGACCGTAGAATATTCAGCCCTGACCGCTCAGCAGGATAAGTCCGAATAGGATTCGCGAGCCAACGTTTTATGTGCTCGTAGTCTCACATACCAAACGACTTAATATTTTTAACTAGTATATATAGAGAAAAAATTTTTACACAAAGACCCAAACCGTGATTATATTTTAGAAAATCCTTCGATCATTATTCGGCTAAATGGCACGAACATAATTTAAAAGATAAAGCCGTTTTCCAGTCACACTAACACATACTGGTAAGCAGCCACATGTATAGAATAAACTATTGCTTGGTATTTTATATCTACGATTTCTAGTGAACATATACATATATAGAGTAAACAGACTCGAACATTTTCATCAATGTTTCTCTTCATGTTTCTTCACGACAATCGCATTCCCAATTACTTAAAGCGGTGCTCAAATTCCAAACCTCAGTTATCTCAACAGCCGTGAAACAAAATTTCTTAGTCTTGCATTCCTTTCCACAATTTGGGTGCAAATCCCAGGTTTTCGCACGCGCAGAGTGAGCTGTAAGCAAAATTCTTTTTGAAAACAATCATAAAAAAGGTTTTCGACTGCGAATGAGATCTGGTGTAATCAGAATAAATGAGACTTTCTAGTTCAACTTGCTTGTGGGTAAGAAACAATACATTACACCGCATGACGGAACAAAGTGCTTTTTATGAAGCCTCTAAACCCACCACCACCAATACCACCACGGTAGCCAACAATTGTTCAACCAAGGCTGTAGGTCATTCAAAAGCCATATTGTGTGCGATGAATAAATGTCCTGTTTCATTACACACTCGTATATACCATCAGATAACATTAAAATCACTAGCAAATTGCATGTCAACTTTTTCCGCTCTAATAAATTTACAACGTGCACTCGAAATTTTCATTAATTAGTTGAAAAATTATCGTGTCATTAAGTGCTGCTGTAATCCAACAAAGGCTGTACTCCTCAAGGCTTTACATGTACACTTTGTACAGCCACCGAGACGTTGCAACCTCCAAGGCAGGACTCGTTAATGGCTGTACTCTTCCCCTAGGCTGTGAACTCATATACTGTACCGTACTCCAAGACTGTGCTCCACATCTGAAGTATATACCCCTACTCCCCCAAAGACTGTAATGCCACCAATGACGATCTCTCCCTCACCATGTACCCCCACAGGAGCAGCAGCACCGGCAGCGCAGCAGTACGGGCAGACGCACTATTGATCTCAGGGAAACGAGTGCCTCGGCTGCCGCTGCCCGGAGTAGCGGGCGTAGCGAGTCGCTTGATAGCGGCAACTATAGCCCGCATTGCCGCAGCGTTCGACCAGCGTAATCGTCAGTAACTGCACCGCAGTAGAGCGCTATGATCCAGTAATAGAGCGCAGGGTCTCAGGAACGTACTGAGTGACAGACTGTGTGATCGTACAACAAACAGTCTTCAGACAACACACAGATTTCAAGTATGTTCTGTATACGTCTCAAGACATCGAAAACGGTCATCGCAGCTCAGGTCACGCGCAGGGTCGCTCGTGCGCGACGGCGATGGATATGCGCGCGCTCGCTCAGCGCCAGCGTATTTCACTCTCGCGCGTGGTCGTGCTTCTGAACATGGCGCATACACGCGGTAAATGCGGCTTGTACTAGATGAAATGCGGCATATTTGCGCAAAAATACTGCTCATATGAGCTAAAATGCTGCGCTGTAAAGGCAGCTTGAAATGCTGCTCTCGTGCTATGAAGCTTTGTCCAGACGACAGTGGCAGACGTACTCAAGTTTAGTCCGATAAAAAATTTTGTACGTCTGCATTTTGATCGATCGGTCGAGGTAAATTTCAACTGTTCATGGAACAAATTCTTTAGGATTCTTCAATATTTCTACATTTGGTCAGCGATAGTCGGCTCAATTGTCGGCCTTGAAAGGTGGTTGGCAACAATATTTGCAATAAATTCGTTATTTAGAGTTTATATCTAGAGCAAGGTTGAATGCTAGTACTCATGTTGTGGCGCCTACAAGTGCAGGGATGCAAGTCAAAAGCCCAACGATGCCAGATTTGTTGGCTTAGATTGCCAGTACACAGCATTTGGGTCACCCACATACACAGAGCGTCCTACAGTGAACTATTCAAGCGAACAACCTATCCTTGCTGAGAATTACAGCCGCTGCGACGCACGCCAGATATCTAAGTCAGAAATCACAAGCGGCACAGGAGCTCCTGACGACTGGCCAACCATCCACCTCCCATAAACCGACCATGGCTTCTGGCGAGAATTGATTGCCGGCTCTCTATATATGCACCAGCACATCTCCGTCAACATGAGAATATAATGGCGCAGCTATGCAGACTCACGTTTCCTTCATTGCAGCTGATCAAACATGCGGGGCCTCGCAATGTTCACAATAAGATTTAATCAACATTTTCTGTCAGTTCTTTCTATTCAGTAACGAAACATGCGCGCCAGCTGCGAGCTATTATATGCAGCTGGCTTTCCGAATTAAATTTCAGCAGCTGCAATTTTTGTCAGAAAAGATTCCAATCCACATTTAAATTGAAAAGTTAATCAAATGCAATTAGGCTTGTCCCTGAAAAATAGATTTCCAGTCATGTTATTCGATTAATTTCTAACCAGTAAAATGAAATTTCTCGAAAATAAATGGGATGACACCAAAAATGTCGCTGCACATGGACGGAAACCGTTGAGGGCGACAAGAGCAAAAACTGGCTTTGTGATATCGGAGATAAAGATTAAACTTGAGGACGCTAACGACTTTTTCTTAGTCGGCGCACTCGAAGATGAACAACAGATAAGGAATTATTATCGTGAAGTTTAAGTAATATGATGACTTAATTAAAATGCGTGTCTCGGTAGCCACGCAAGCAATAATTTATACATACATAGATAGGTTTCGTTATCAAGGATGTAATACTATAATACTATATTGGCAAATAGTGATTAAAATTTTCATCACGCCAGCTGATTAGGCGGCAATTAGCCGTCGTCCATAAACTTTAAAGTGGTGATAAAGTGGTGTTAGTAACCACTTTAAGATAAAGGAAGTAATTAAGTCAGGCATGGATTACGGTTAGCGCAAAAATACCAACATATAAAAGCTGGTTTCAAATTCAAAGGCCAATTATGGCAAAAGAATTAAAAAATAATAATCAAATAGTGTCGAAACTAAATCTAGCACTATAGCAGCCCCCGAGCTTTGTGTTCTTAACAGTCCAAATATCGGTTCACCAATTCGGAATTCGGATTAGCCTATGTTTGGTAAAAGCCAAAGAGGTAATTGATGCATACAGGAGGAACGAGGGCAGAAGAAGTATATAGAAACTTGTCTCAATTCATCTGTCGCTGTTATTAAATGTCTATTTTTCTTGAAGGCTTCTGCTCATTATAATCGATTAGCAGTGTTCATTGTTATCGATTATCAAAACACTAATGAATTATTCACTTTCACATTTATATTTCTATTTAGAATAACAGATGAACAACAGAACGAACCCCCCATTTAATTAAAATGTTTGATTTACTTCTAAGTCCGGGTTTTTATGCGACGCCGATCGCCGAACTTGTGCACAATCTTCTTCAATTGTGTGTGAGCTAGAAAAAATTAAGCTCCGACGCGGTCTTCTGTAAGGTCTCAGTCCTCAGTAGTTTTGAACCCGAATAATTTGTCAGTTCTAGTAGGGAACCATCTGCTTAAATAGTATCGACCCAAGTATTCCTCCAGTAAATGCATTCCTATTGCATCAAAATAACTATATTAGATTGAAATCTGTTCATAGCACGCACTGGAAGACACTAATTCTAAGTACGAATAAAACAATGGACACACACTGCAAGGTTCTCACCTAATATGGAAGCATGGCAGATCAAGCAGGGCCACTGCAGGTCACGGGCAGGACGATCTATGTTTCTCTATGTTAAACGCAAGTAAAAAAACACGTTTTCCACACAACCTCCAACTTTTATTATCATACAGAATATTCACACAGATTAATAACTTGAAATTGAACGATCTGACTCAAGCTGTTAGCTGTAGGCCTTCACAGGTCGACAAATACTTGGCCACCGAGAAGTATTGAACCGAAACAACTCACACACCAACCAAAAGGGAGTAAAAAATATTTTCGTTGGATCACAAAATAAATGTAATTAAATATTTTTCACAGTAAAAACTTTATAACATCACTCCCAGTTACGAATTATACACGAGAAATCCATGGGAAAATTACTGAGCCTTCTTATGAACACCTGAAGGGCAAGTGAACTCCGATCGGGCAACGGCAGCACCACTCTTATCCACGTCCAAATGTGGACTGTCGGCCAACTGCTGGAATAGAACAAGGAACTGGAAATAAGCCAGCACTCCCGCCGCAACGGCTGACTGGCTGAACAAATTCAACTGATTGCTGCAATTATTAGTTAAATCAAATGATCTGTGAAGTATCGGTAACAATGATCACTCTAATTTATCCAGTCGAGCAAAAAATACGCACCTAGGTAAGAGATTCAATTAAAAATTATGGATGTTTATAAATCGGGGGATGCTAGATTAGCAAAATAATCAGTATAATATGATCACTGATTTAATTAATATTCAACCCCCTTTGTAGAGTAAATAAAAATTCAAGAGGATATAAATCAGTCATGTAAGATGCATTTATTAATTTAGCAGTGTGTTTTTATAACATAAGAGATGGCTAAATCAAAGCATCAATAACTCTTGATACGAATTTTTGTCATTGATTGCATTACATGGCATTTCGTCTTAGAAAAAGGTGTGTTGGCAGACTTAGCAAAAGAAACTGTAAGAGGAGTAGGTAGTTCTTTGGTAAATTACCATTTAAGTGGTAATAACTTAGCATTTCACAAGATAAAATTTTGTACAAATTATAACCTCACTTAAAAAACTGTATCGCCGAACACACAAAAAAGAGAATGGTACTCATTTTGGTTAAGACAAGTCATTGTGCGATGCCAAAAACATCGCTAAACGCTATATTTTAATTTGTTGACGTGCATTATATGCATCAATTCTTTAGTCTGTCTTGTAATTTGATAACAGAAAATATCATTGGATACTTAACTAATTTAATTAAAAGCACAGTTACTCGTTGTGTAAATAAGTCATTTGATATTGTAAGTGAATTAGTGTTATGGTACATTTTCATGCAGAATTTGTGGATAATATCATATATAATAATTATAATCCTCATTCGTTTCAGTAAAAGAAATAAAAACCAATACCACCGATAAGTTTTATACTGAGAAGCTTCGTCACGGAAGTTTGGAGCCAAATACTGTAATCAAAAACAAAAGCACGAATACCGTAAAGAAATATAGAGAATTTATATGGTGAATTTTAAATCATACGGGTTCAATATCTCAAAGGGAATATGAGTAAATTATCTGGGATACAAACTTAAAACCGATGAATACAGAAAGAACTCAAAATATTCTTGAGAGGTGAGGTTTGAGCCCTCGTAGTACTAATAATAGCGGTGTCAACTTTGACCTTTAATAGATTCAAAAAATCGAAATATTTTTACAGCTTGTGGTGGCGGGTCTCGCACATGCAACTCACTGCTCTAATTTTGCGGTGCATAACCGCCCGGCTACCACGTGGATTTTAACCAGAACTGTCGCAGGTATTGGGATCGAATCCCTAACTCAATCCTGCAAACTCGGTACTCTGAACTGTAACCACTTCGCCATCTAAAATTTCCTCGATGGTGGCTGTGAGCGTGGAATACTGAGGGCTATGAAAATGGTGCGGACAGACCATTATTGATGCACGTGCCACGCGTTAGAGAAATTCGTAATATGCACGATTATGCGTCAAACAAATATAATAAAATATAGTAACCTGTTAATAACCAACCTATTTGAACTAATATGTCGAAATTATTTGCCACGACAGTGGCGACATTGGCAGTGACAGTTTCTACTTGACGGTAAATGCATAATTCAGGCGAAAGCGAGAGCTTTCAAATCAAACGAGAATGTGCTCAGACAATTGAGTAGGCACAAAAATTACAAAAGCGTACCGAAAGATATTTGAATTAAAAATGTGAAGGTGACAAGAAAGATTGATTACTCCTATGACTGTTTGTGTATAAACGAAACAGTAATATAGATGAGTCGAAAACCACTATGGTTTTAATCTGAGAGGGCTGAACTCTCTAATTCTAAAAAAATTTTAGGAAGAGACGAATTATTTTAATAATTAATAATAGGCACAAAAATTGAGAAGGATCGTTTGTCTGGTAGAATTTCTCGTGCACTTGCTATTATAAAAACAATTTTTTTAAGTAGTAGGAAAACAGCTAGAGAACCTAGTTAGCGAAAAAAATGCGTTTGTTTCTAGATGCCTTGCATGTGATAGAGAGCCACGGTGAGCTAACCTCGCGTTGATTCATGTGCCTTAATAATATTTAATTGAAACACATACATGACACCCAATCTCCCTATTATCTTACATCTCTGCTTGTGACACTGGTCAGTGACAACCGAGGTCTAATGGAACCTTCACAACATCCTAGGACGCCCTTAAAAAAACGTACCACAGTGGCTAATTTAACTTATTAAATTTTTTGTTATTATTGCATGAACTGCGATATCTCACACATATGGTCACTGTAAGGCCTGAAGAAATGACGCATCAGGGCTAGGATGGTGCGTGATCCTGCCTGATTCCAAAATTGACGACTCCAAAACATACGGAATTTTTTCTCGTGGCAAGATTTCTACCAACAACATGTTTCGAAGTCGCTAGAATGAGAGAAATTAATTTAGCTTATAAAACAGACCTGAATATGAGTCATAAGATGTTTGTCGTTATAACAGCAAATTTACTAAATAAAAACAGGTCTCGAAAAATATTTAAGATACCACATATCACTGGCTTATCATCAGGGGTCATTTTTCAGTAGAAGTTTCAGGACCGTTGGCGACAACACTACCACTGGCTTCACTGTCAAGGGTCCCAACCACAGCTGGCGCGTCTCGGCATGGAACGTCTTCCAGCTTCTTGGGACTGTCGGCATCATCAGGAAGGTCATCGGAGTCGTCCAGCGAGAAGTCCTCCTCCTCTTCAGTGAGTCCTCTGGCTGCTGATGTCCTGCCCTTCTGGGCATGAGTTTCATGGACGCTCAAACGATGCTTCATGTGCCGCGTCAGCGTAGGGATGGAGTCTCGAGGCAGCAGGAATGTGCTCAGGTTAAATAAGTCAATGAACACTTTGTAACGATCGCTGCAAATAGAAAAAAATGACATTAACTAACAACTGTTAATGAAACACTATTTTCATATATTCATGAAGCAATTTCTTCAAATAAAAAAATACAACTCAGTACTCATTGTAGTGAGTGACAGAGAGCGCATTTTCTCGTCGACGAAAACGTGAAGTCACAGACGAACGGACAGACAAACGGACGGACGGACATGACGAGCACAATAGGGCATTTTTCCATAAATGAGAAAATGCGCTAAAATTACATTATCTAATAACTGCTAACGCGTCAATATTTTCATATATTCACAACGCGATCGCTGCAAATAGAAAAAAATGACGATATCTAATAACTGCTAACGAGTCAATATCTTCTTCAATTCATAACGTGATTGCTGCAACCAAACAAATCAGTCTGCTTTACATTAAATAAATTGTAGCTCAATGTACTACTAATACAGCAAATTATTTCATGAATTCTCTTTTTTCGAAATAATTGAACGAATAATTTGTATTATAATATAAAACCAATTACAATTTTAATAGCGTGGATGAGTGAGATTTCCTAATGTAAAAAGAAAGAACAAAATAACAAGATGAAATAATTGCGCATTCTCTTGTCACAAACTTGAACGTTAAGTTTATGGTTGGATTACCTTCAATAGTGTGGCCAGCATAAAATCCTACCAAATATTTGGTATAGATAATAATATAATGATATTTATTATCATTAGAGGAATTCTAACAATATTTATCTTAATAAACACAAGAAATATTTTTTTTCTTGGTCACTAGTATTGCAAGGATAATCACAGTTAAAAGGATGTGGAGGAAGAATAAATTCATGGTAAAAGTTAATGAATGAAGTAAGTATGATGCGTATTACGTACACACCTGAGGGTAGATCTAAGGTACTGGTAGCCTGAGGAACCCCCGGTGCCAATTTGTTGAGAGCCAATCATGCGCTGCACCAGCATCACGTGGTTGTCTGTGCAGCCAATAAGCATGCGATAACAAAGTCTTGCTTTCGCCACAATGCATTTTCGTAAATGGAAAGTTATATTGAAAAATAATAGATAATAAGAGTTCAAAAACGGAGGCACTTGTCAGTTGTGACACATTATATCATCATGCCTTACTGTAACTACTTAAGGATCACATTTTTCAGTTATAGGGGTCCAATAAACAAGGGAGAGAGTACCCGTAGTCGACATATTCCAGGGCACAGAATAAACTTTGCTTAAAAGATATTAAAATCTGACTTTAGAGAAGATAGTAATAACCAACAGCCCCAGTCCTATTATATTGCAGGCATTAGCAAAAATGTAACTACTTAGGCTGTTAGAGGATAATAAAAAGAATAGCCCAGTGATATAGGCTGTTTTTTTTCCAAGTCAACCCTTGCTCAACTACCAAAATAAAGTGGCCTATATCACTGGACTATTCATTTTATCATCCTCTTACAGCGTCAGTAGTATCCTCCAAATTCCTACAATAACCACGATTCTATAAAAACCCCAAATTATAACCTCCGCGACCCTCATTTCCAGACATGGTTCATGCCGGGCAGCCATTATCAAGCCGATGCTCTAATCAGTCTAATGCCACTACTATGGTTGTTTATAAGCAGCGATGGCAGCAATCAAATCCTAGTACGGCTCCACAGCCCCGGATGACACTAGCGCGTCGTGCCGTCCAGTGCTACTCACATCGCCATTTGGTCATAAGGGAGTCGACGTCCATGAGGAGGTTGAGGAGCTGGTAGGGTTGGTTGAAGCGCGGTTCCTCCCTGTAGAAGGAGATCATGAGGGCGCCCTGAAGAGCCTGGTGACTCAGACGGCGTTCACCGCGAGCCACGAGAGCGTTGTGGATGCTCGTGTCGAAGATCGAATTGAACAACTCCTGACGCTTCTTCCATGCGTCCAGCAGCTGCTTCTTCTTGGCCTCGATTTTCTCTTGCTAAAAGAAAATTCCGAGATTACTTAAAAACCTTTCGTTGCAATAACCTCGACATGATTGAAGGTGAAGCTGAAAGCGAATGTTAAAAGCTGGACTCGAAAGATCGTTTTTATGGATGATATATAGATTAAACTGCACAAAATAATTTGATGGATGTGATGAAAAGAAAAAGAATCTAGATATATGACAGAGCGAGATATAATTAACGAAGTCCAAAATTAACTCCAATTTTTTTATTGGAGTTAATTTTATTTTTTTATCATAATGTTTATTTTGTAGGCCAAAATTAACGGCATTTAATTGAAACATGAATTACATACAACGCTTTGCAACTCATACTTACTTCAAATTCTAGCTTCTGCGCTCAAAATCCATTATTAGATGCTATTGATTAGAGTACAACTCATTCAAGTACATTGGGATAGTTCAACTCTTCCTTACTTAAGAACTCATTCTCACATCGAACTCGAGTTTCTGAGCAGCCAAGCTGGCATCCACAGCCCTCTTGTACATCTTCCAGAACTTGAAGCCTTTGGAGTCCAAGCCTGGAGTCCTCTCTAGCCACTTGGCCAGCAGCTCTTGAAGGGAAGGTTCACGTTCCGATTCTTGTATCCGGTGGAGGTTCTCTTTGTGGTCACCGAACACTTTCATGTAATGTTCTTGATTGAACCGAACACGGTGCTCCTGCGAAATAACATTAATTTGTAAACACAAAACGTAAAAAATATTCAAGTCACAGAATATTACTTGTAACTATATGATTAATAATATATAATGTCTATGACGTGGACTTTGAGTAACCAGCTCTATAGTTGTGAGTGTCAATAGTGTAAACAATTGTAAACTAACTCACCGCTCGTTAATAAAAGTAGTTATGCGGTATGAAAATAAAATTTGTTGTGTTTGATTTTTATTTTAAAATGAGCTGTTAAGATCCCAATGACAAAATTCTCAATTTATCATTTGTATCTGAGGCCTGCGATACATGCCACAATTGCACATTGTTCATTGATGCACATTGATAATTAACTGTATTGCCAATCAGATCTTGATCCGTAACCAAAGCAAGTCCCGATCTTCAACAAGTCCCGTAACTTAAGGAGACTTGCATAGTCACAAAACCGGGCAAGATTAATGAGAAACGATTACTGATGAGAAATCGTATAGATACCATCACTGACTGATGCCATTCATAACGCCAATTCCTGATAACTTCGTTTTCTGTAGATCGAAGTGCTGACAGCCGATCCTAGGATTAACCATAATAATACGAGGCACGTTTTTAGCGCATTTTCTCATTTATGGAAAAAATGCACTATTGTGCTCGCCATGTCCGTCCATCTGTCTGTCTGTCCGTCTGTCCGTCCATCTGTCCGTGACCTCAAGTTTTCGTCGACGAGAAAATGCGCTCTCTGACACTCACTGCAGTGAGTATTGAGTTATATTTTTTTAATTCCAAAACTGTACAGACTTAAAAAAAATGCCTCATACCACACAAAAGTTAGAAAGCTTACCGATTTAACGCCAAGTTTGTTCTCAAGAAGTCTGAACTGGAAGGACTGGAAGCCTGACGCCGGTGAGAGATAATCTCTAAACTCCATGAAGTCCAGAGGAGTCATCGTCTCTAAGATCAGGAACTGGTCCACGCACAACTGCACGGGTATTGACATCCATAAATAAAACTTGTTCTTGTGAGATTTACGGTTACTCGTTACGGTTACATAACGGTATAATGGCACTCTAAGGTTATAATACGGTTACATAACGGTATAATGGCACTCTAAAATGATTTAGTGTCTTCAGGCCAATTCTTAAAAACTAATAATTAGTTTTCAATTCTTTTTGCATAAATCTCGGAATACACCAAAAATTAATACAAATTTTATATTTTGCTTAATTTTTTATGCACTTACGGGTTATCGCAACCAAAATTCTGAAAAAATTGCTCATAAAAAATAAATAATAAGTAAAAATAATTGCTCCCCACCTTTTACTCTGAAATAAAATATGCTTCTAATAAATAGGAATGTGTTAACACGGTATTCCACATATAGTATTTAAATACAAATGGGAAAGAATCCGACCATAATTTCTTCTACATATGCGAGCAATCTGCATATTCGACGTCATGAATAATCGCGTGGGAATTTTAGTCCCCGACACCGCTGTTGGAATAAAAAACCGTTGCATACACTATCATTGTCTGCTCAGATTTTGTGTGCGAAAAAAAAGTTAGAATTTATCTGTGAGATCCGGAGCAGTCCGTGTCTCATACAAAATCCATTATCAGTTCACTAAAAAATCGAAAATTGTCTACTCTATTAATTTAAATATTCGTGATCTATAACCCAGAGAGTTTACCTAATTAGTGATAATTTGGCTCGCTTTTCTCAGCATACTTTCCAAAACTATAGTACAGCGAACCGGTTTTGCCACGTGGAAGTTAAAAGTAGATGGTAGAGGTCCTGCAAGAGGCACTTATATGGCTTTGGTGACTCAGAAGAGTAACACATTGATGATTAATGTTCAGTTTAAGGACGCTTAGTCTGGAATAGCTCGGCCAACCTCAAGGCACATAATGACTGCAAAAACGATAAATAGTTTATATATAGTGAAGATAAAGGTAATCATTGCTCATTCAGATTGTGATGATCCACGCAATAATTTCACGACCGAATAATTCTGATTGTAACATGCATTCATAATTGCTGATACTCTTTGAAATATGTTGTAACAAAATGAACCAGCGATGTTATTGCGCTAGTAGCGAGACAAGATTTGCTGGCTGCACGAATATTTTTTAATAAACACGATGAAAAACATAGAACAAGAAAAGCCTATGTAGTTCATCGGAAGCTTCGAAAAAGTTATTTTCGGAATTATGTGAAAATTTTACACGTGTGTTAATGCTCCAGACAAGGGAGCTCTAAAAAACACTCGTGCAGCGCCCAGCAACAGTCGACTCCCGGGAGCACATCTACGGCTGCTCGGCTCCAGCTATGACTTTGGTCTATAGCAGCAACGGCCGACCGGTGACAGACTGTTTTTCGAAATATTTAGTCTATGTTTACAGTAGCGGGGGCAATAAACGATTGGTAGTGGCTGCCGTAAACATTAAAAGAAAGGAAGAAAGTTTGCCTCAATAAAGATTCGATGATATTTCTACAGTTCTCTAGTACGTGTTCTTAAGACGCCAAACCGAAAATGCCAGGAGCGTCAATCAAACGTACTGGGATTTTACGTCGCTCTTATTAATTGTGTTTTTGTGCGGTGAATTAAGCAGGACAGCTGCATGAAGTTCAATTTAAAGCGCAAGCAAAGCCGTGCCCACTGTGCAGAGAGTGGATGAATATTGCAAGATCTTTGGCGACGCTTCAGTAGCAAAATTTATGCCTTCAGAAGATCTTGCTGACACATTTAGATTGAAATTCTTTCATTTAATATATTTGTCAGTCTTCGGCCAACTATTTGAAAAAAGTAAGGTTTCCGGTATGTTGGATTGATCAGTATGCAGTGAAGCTTGTCCGGAAATCAGTTGCGATGAGTTCCCACCAAAAAATTGTAAACATCAAGTTTAAGATTACGTAGTTGCGGTCACATTAAAGTGGTCAGACTGCATTATCACATGTTCAGTTGACACTTGCTGTGCAATCAGACTGTTTTTAGGGTAAAATTAGTTATTTGGGGTAACACGTGCATGCAACCTTGTAAATAAGTTTGTGGCTTGTAAATAGTTTTTCATTACTCAGCGTAAATGGCTTTTCATTAAAAATTACCAGGCAACGCATCTTAAAATTACCCGGCGACGCTTAGGGCTTAAAAACCCATATATTGGCGACGCTGCATCCACCCTCTGCACCATGGAGCCGTGCAACTGCAACCCCTCCAAGGCCATGGAAATGAATATGCCCACAGGGACAGGCTCCTGATTGGTCTTCATCGACACACCCGCAGTCCTGTGCCTTGCTATTGGTTGATGCTCGCGGTTCTCGATATATTATCTGAATTGCACCTAGAGATCAACATTCTTTTAGTTGCTTTCCATAAGCAAAGTTAACGACAATAAATGAAAGGTATATTGCAATAATTTCATTTCTTCATTCTAGTGTGAACCCTCTTTGGAATTTTGGTGAATAAAGTACGAGTTTTGGTGGCTGATAAACCTGAGTCGCAGTTGGGTCCCTCGATGCCCAAGCGACCTCGACTATTCAGTTCCTATGCCCAGGATGCTAGCTGTGGTTGAGCCTTGACTATACAAGAGCGTACTCGGTACTCCCTAGGGGCAAATTAATATCTCTGGCGTCTACCAATGAACTTTCCACATGTATTTTTACCTATAAACATTTCTTCTCGTAGGTTTGAATAATGAATGATAAGCCTCAAAACGAGTTTAGGCTCTCAAATAATTTTTTTTCGAAACTTTGCATGGTAAAATTACATAAAATTGCAGTTACACCTATATATTTTTTGAGGTTTTGATTCAAAAATATGAATTGATATCTTCTCAGCATTACACCCCAAATGATTACGCTTAGTTTTGGACTTGCAGGAGCATGTTTTATTGAAAGCGCTCTGCGAAAAAATGGAGCGTCAAATTAAATGCGCAGTACAGGAAGCTCACGTAGGACTAACGCAATTGGGACGTCACACATTCGGCGGCGATTAGACTACTTAGGTTTGAAACCGAGAATCTCCATGTGCAACATGTAACTGAATGATCATATTTCGTGTTTTTCGTTTTCTTTCGTTTGGCGATTACAATATTTTCAACTCTTTCTGTTCTAAAAGTTGAAGCGTTGAATGCACGGAAAAAAGCTCCTGCCAAATGTTATTTTTTGTGAATATTTACTTCCCTTCTAACAATGACTAGAAGATCTTGACAATTAGTAGCTATGACTAGTATATCTTGACAAGTAATTAGGCCAGACGATTGTTTTTTTTTCTGACGCGTGAGAAAAATGTTATCTTACCATGACCTTGAAGCTTCCGATGAATGACAACAGACTGCACTCGAAACGTCTTGCAATTGATATAAATGGTTAGTGATTACAGCTCAACAAGAATTGAACTTCAGCCAACAATAATGTATATGACAATGTATTAATCCTGTAGAACAAGAAGACTCTTCCGGTAAAGTCGTCGCTTTAAATTTTATCCATTTTTTTGAGAGGCTTTAACTTAGTTCATTGAAGCAAAATACCGGTAAAGCACATACTTGAAAAGGCAAACCCCAGCAGTTATTTCCAAAACCAACAGACATAAAATATACCACACTAATCTGTTCGACACACTCACAAGGCTAAAAGAACAGGTTCTTGGTAAGGAGTACTCTCAGGGCACCACGGACAGTGGCTGACTAGTTGCGCAGAACCTCCACGCACTTATTCAGTGTCTGATGCGTCGTCCAGTAGTATTCCTCAGTTAAAACACAATTAATAGGCATAAATTAACTATGAAGATTTTATCCCTGAAAATGAGACAGCATTTTGAGATGTTAAAAATGTTTTGGAATTCACTGGAGTTTCCAGAGAACCATGGTTTTGGTTACCTTGAGGATCAGGGTCACTCTGTGGATGCGTTTTATGATCTCCAACATCTTGCGCTCATCGACTTCCTCTACACTGAAGATTTCACGCACCGAGTCCACTTCGTAGATGATTTGCTTGAACCACAATTCATAAGCTGCGACATAAATAAAAATTCGTCGATGCATTTAGTCAATGGGCATTCACGATTTATCATGGCACATGCATGAAATTTTCGCTCATTCTCGTGGAATATTATAAGTCAAGAAAATATGTTAAGAAATACATCGATGGATAAGAAAGAAGCTGTGCTCCTCTGGAGGAATGCCAAGGTAAGTCAGGTTTACCTAAATAGCAGGTGACAAAATGGCATTGTTGGGAAATGACGCTTTCCTTACCCTGATGGATGATAATGAAGAGATGCTCATCATGGACTTTGTGACCATCAGCTTCCGACTCGAGGCGTTGAGCGTTCAGGATTTTGTGAAGCTGCAGGTAAGACGTGTAATTTTGTCCGCCGTGCTCCATGAGACTGCCCATTGTATCCTCGGAGTCGCTGCCCAACGAAAAAAAACATCTGACTGTACAAAACATCTGTCTGAAAAAACTGTAGAACAAACTTTAAATCGTGCAACGGGAAGTTTCTAAGTAAGCAATGGAATGTGTAAACTGAAGAGGAAACAACTTAGATATTTAATAATAAATTTCGACGGTGCAGAAGACCGCACTGATGACACAGCCCCTGCTAATCGAGACCTTGTTTCTCCATTAGCTTTGGTTAATTAACAGAGCCCACACCATGCCTTTTCAAAAACAACAGAACATTTTAAACGAATGACAAGAGGAGCGACTAGTTAGGACAGATCTTCCATTAGGGCACAATGGTAAATAACAGAATACGTGAGATACCATTTTCGAATTGTAAATAGCCCAATTAAAATTCATACAGCACTGAATCTTCATTACAATGACGAAGAGGGACCTCAAGACACGTACGTCTAGAAAATAGTGTACAGAAATATGACGTATTATTTCATGGAAAATCAGTGAAGGGTTCCACAAAAAATCTAATACCTATTTTATCGTTTTCAAGTTATTCACAAGAAAGTCTAATAATACAAAATGCTGTTCATGCAAATTCTCAAACATAAGAATAATGTTAGAACATAGTAGGTATGCTTTTATTTCAACTTTGGCTATAAAATGGGTAGTCAAGAATGAGACTTGGCAAGCGGGAGATGACTCATGATTACTGATGAAGTTGAGTGAAAGTGTATTTTTATTAATTTAACAAATTAAACGCAAAATTACGTAGAAAAAAAAAACATAGAACGAGACTCACTTGTTCGATGCAAATGGACAAGCCATATTGGACTTTTTGAAAAGTGCCAAGTATAAAATAATAATTATTTCAAATGGGTCTGTAAATTGAAAAAAAACAGTCAAAATTTAGTAATTTAGAAGTCTAGTTAAATATTGTATTTCCGCCAGCGACAAAAAATTACGCGTAGATAAATTTTGCAGCGAATCTGAGAATTAAAACAAGAAGCATCGGGATTCCTAACCATCTGCCTAACCTATCAATCATGAACAGAGAGTAAAAAGAGATAAGGACAGTTTTCATTACGATCATCGCAAGAATTTTGTCCTTTGGATGATAGAATATAATAGAATAGAAGTGTCGGCATTGAAGAAATAGGCCCTTGGCCTGTTGCCGATTCTTGAATTTTTCGTGACTTGATTCACAAGGGGATCCGGCCTTTGGAACCCGATCTTTCCATAACCGACGATTGATTGAGATGATGCTTTGTTCAGTTTGTTCAGTTCACTCAAATCGCAATTCAGTCAGGACAATTTGCTACAGCGTCTTGTACTAGGGTTTTCGATCATTAACAATCGCCACCCACTTTATAATAAATTTCAACAATAAAATGTAATTTCCATGTGTGTGCTGCAAGTAAGTATAGACAGGAGTACTGCTGCTCTTACTCGACTATCAACATTATGGAGGCATGCATCACTTCCTTTACCGCCAATATAGATTATAAGATTGTTGAACTCAATTCAAAACTATTTTAATCAGCATAGGCGAAATGAAATTTGTGAAGTTTGTTACAGGAACGTCGCTCGATTTGAGAGCATTGAGTTTTAAGTTCAAGGATTTCAGTTACAAACAACTTGCCGTTGCCGCAGTACCCTATTCACCCGCTTCGGGCTTGCACAAACGAGCCCTCGTCGTCGTAATCGCACTGATCCAAACTCGATATTCGATAATTGCCTTGCTGTAGCAGCGGCATTAACCTTATTGAAACTTTGCTGTTTTGTAGAGACCAGAAGAATATAACGCGATTGAAACTAGGATATCGCTGAGAAATGTATTCATACCACGTGGACGTGATACCTTCATTTCAGACAAATTATCCTACCTACATTGCCTCTCATTTTGTAATTAAGCAGTTACGACGAAGCTCAAAAAATGTAAGGCTGCCAGGCTGCACCGTGGCAAAGTTTTGTTCGCCTTCATTGTAGTCTATATTTGATTTTTTCAGACGACTTTTGACAATAGATTTAATCCAGCAAATAATTACGTTCAAGATACATTTACATTATACGCATCACAATTCCTATTATTTACGGTAGGACCTATTACGGTAGGACCTATTCCTACAACTTGTATGCACATTTTACAAGAGTCATATCCAAAAGCACCCTGTGTATTCTATAGCGCTAAAATAACCTTAAATCAATTTAAAAACGTTCCAAACACTGATATTAGTTTTTTGTAATTGTATTCACTCTTCAGGTTGTCTGCCAGAACTAGAGAACGATTTCGTAACCACTGCCTCACTGAACTCACACCGAGCCCACGCGGCGCACTGACTGCATGCAGCAGGCCAGCAGCTAGAAGACTTGAGTGACCTACGTTACGATCTTAGGTGTGTGTTCGTGCGTGTGTTGACTGTGTTAGTTCCCAACAGGACCAATTCATGGTTGAACTTATTTATTTAGTTCAACCATGCGAGCAATTATTCTCAGACTGTTTGTAATAAAGCTTCCTGGCTAAAGGTGCTTGTACACGGGGATAGTACTAGCGTAATAGACAGGTCGTAGCCTTACCCGAGCGATGCAATTTGAAACAGCTTCCGTAAATCTTGCTTCCACTTGGGATCTGAACAATGAACATTCATGGCAGATACTAATTTACGGTTTGAAGTAGCACCCCAACCAAGTAATTGTTTCGTTAGATGAAACTACTTTATTTCATACGAGATACTCTTCTGCATAAATGGTAATTTAATTCTAAACTAGTTCAGAAGTTCAGAACTTTAAGACAATGCTCAATGTATCGGTTACCTTTCATCCAAAAATCTTCGACGCATGATTTTGGACATCAATAACCGCTCATCTGTAAATAAATATTTTCATTTATATCATACATACGATGATATTATCATCAAATATTTTATTCGTGTTCAAAAGTTCTGAACACGCCTTTAAATTCTGAAGTATGGCATTTATTTGTTTGTCACAGACGATTCTTTTTCACGCATTCACTGCAGAAAATTTTAGTTCTAGGGCAAACCGTTTGATTTTATCACTCTGCTGTTGGAGGTAAATTGGAATTAAGTAACAACTAGGTAGGGCGGTAGCATATGGATATCATATGATATAGAGCTAGAAATTCTGCCTTTCAAATTTACCATTACCCCATGCAGAATCAGATGTTTTAATGTTTTTTGGGATCAATCGAGGTTCCGTTGCTGACATATTTCTTCATACATTTATTTCATAAATCAGTATAACATAGATTGTGTAAATTGTAAAACATCAAACATGTAGGCTAAGGCTATAGCGCTACCTACACCGTTCGGACTCGAAAGAAGAAACACAACTATGGTGAGTATGGTTCGTCAGGTTCGAGAACAGAAATAAGGCCGTATGAAAGAAATCAAACAAAATGAAAATTTTTGAGAGCATGTGAAATCTGACTCTTCCTGAAGCCTAAAAATCATAAAACGGCATTTTTATTGCACTAATTCTGTTGTGCTTCTGGGTAATAACTGAAGGTTTCTGGTGCCTTTTACATTCTACTATACATTGTAGTTAATCTAATATCTCTAATAAAGCTTGTTTCAACGCAGTGCGATAAATTGTACAATCACGTTATAGCATCACTGTTAATATATTAATGCCTCATTGAATATTTTAGCAGCCCTTTCGATTACTTAAATTAGACAAGAAACTAAAATGGAAAATTCTTTGGGGCGTTTCAAAAGTTTAAGAATTCACGGATCAAATTTTATTCGTCTGAAGTGAGCTTCAATGAAGGAGAAGATCGTGTTAGTTTGAACAACATCTAAACAGATAACTAAAAGCAGATATAATTGGGTAAGAGGCAATCTCCATTAATCCTTCAGATCAATCTTGCGAGCGCCCTACTCAAGATTGTCGAGAGCTTGCCTCTCCTCAGCCTCCTTCAGCAGCGGGCGAGGCAGGAGCAGTGACGTCACGTGGGACAAATCGAGGAACACCTTCAAGGGGTCCCTGTTCATAAAAAAATTTCAAACCCTTTGTTATTATTAAAGCGGTTATTGCTTTCCAAAATGCATAAAAAATTTGTGGAACTCACTTTGATCGCAGACGCTTTTTTATTGATAATATTGTCCTTTATAATAAAACGTTAATTGTTGGTGCATTTAGAGACAAAATTGATTATTTCATTGCGATAGTTAATCGACGAGGTTGAAACCTTTAAATCCGATGACTAAAAAATAGCATAAATATTTATAAAAATAAATAAAAAAATAAAAATAAAAAATAAAAATAAAATAGCATAAATATATCATGAAGAGAAAACAATAATATAGCTTACCTTCTGTTAACGTTCTTCAATGAGGAGGGAAAATAGGACATATATCTGATTTGAGCCATAAAATTTCCATAAATTAATTTGTAGTAATGGGCAATAAAATTTTAGGAAACTAACCCGAGCGTGGCTTTGAGGTAGGGTACTCCAGACGAGCCTGCCGTGCCCGCTGTGGCAGGACCGATCAGCTGCTGCACGGTCATCAGGTGCATGACTGCACGAGTCCAACGGTGGTGTTAATTATCACGAATAACTAAAGAAAATTTAACTATAAGTCTATAGGTAATATATAATAATAATTTCTGTGAAGCAAATATAAAATAATTATGATGAGATTCTGTGTTCAGTGTCATCACAAGGTTCTTACATCGCCACTTGGTGAGGGTGACGTCGAGCGTGACGAGTAGCTGCAGGAAGCGGTAAGGTTCGCTGTACTTGCACTCGTCACGACGCATCATCACCATCAAGGCACTCTGCAGGATATTTCAATAACACGTCATCAGTACAATGATAGTTGATGAGCATCTTATTGCGCCCATGTCAAAAGCAACTTTTATTTTTTAAAACAAATTTCTTCATTCACATCAACAATAAAATACAAATTACTTTATAACATCATTATACGATAATTTCGGTTAATGATAATTGTATATTTCCTTATCAATAATATTAATTTTACGATAATAATGATGCTCATAATTACAAACAAATGTATTTAATGATATAAATTATGCAACAAATACTCATGGTCGTCCACCTTGAATGCCTTGTACGAGAGTCGCCGGTCTCCGCGCTTACTACACTCCTTGTAATCTTCCTCGTCAAGGAGGGATGCGAACTTGTCGGCAGCGGCCTTCTTTTCTTCCTGTTGGAGGTACGGTACGCGTTATGGTCGTGGTGGCGTGAGAAAGTGTCATTATTTTGTATATTTAGCAAAAATTTATCTTTCAATGTCATTTAAATTGCTCTCCAAATCAGATATTTAAAAATGGTGTAAATATTCACAAAAAAAAACAATGTTTTACTTATAAATCTCGCGTGGTGTCATCTATCGCTTGATAAACATGGTTCAATTACTGTATGGATCGTTATCAATGGCTCTCACCTCGTTAGGCTTGCTACCGATGAAGTTCTTCATTGTTTGCTCGTAGATGCGCCAGAAATTTTCACCGGCGTCTTCTTTGTCGTAGACTTCCTCCAGCCAGCTGTTGACGGCCGTCAGCAGGGAGGTCGCCTTTTCGGTAGCATCGAACTTGTCCAAGACATCTTTGTGGTCCTTGAAAACAACACGATAGTTTTCTCTGTTGTAGGGGACACGGTCATCCTGCGGAAAAATTGGACGGACTTCTTAATTTTAGCTGTATTAATTTAATTTCTTTTTGTTGATGAGAGTACTCATTATTTCTTTGATGTTGTGTCACTAAACGTTTTTTATTGCTTCTTCGATTATTAACGATCTGCCTTTTAATAAATTTGCGTATGCCTAATTGCATCACACGTGATCGTAAGAAGCTTCGAGTGTATAAAAGTAGTTCAGCACAGAATCTCTCGTTGTATGGAACTACACATTCATAAATTATCTTGAGGGTTAAATGGAACGACAAGCTTCTGAATGAGATGTTGGTCAATATCAAGAGATGGAACGGAAAGTTACTTGTTTACGAACCCATTTCTAGTTAAAAAAATCGTTCATCGGATTCAAATTTCCAACATAACCAATTGCAAGCACGCTTATGCCTAAACACTGTTCTCGATGTAGCGGAACTGGTGTGACTGGAAGCCGCAACATTCTAGTTATTTCTAACTAATAACTAACACAAATACGCCACTAACAGGCCTGACGCCAATGATGTTCTCGATGTAGCGGAACTGGTGTGACTGGAAGCCGCTGGCAGTAACATTCTAGTTATTTCTAACTAATAACTAACACAAATACGCCACTAACAGGCCTGACGCCAACGATGTTCTCGATGTAGCGGAACTGGTGTGACTGGAAGCCGCTGGCAGGGGCGAGATGGTCACGGAACTCCCTGAAGTCCAGAGGCGTCATGGACTCCAGCAGCGGGAACTGCGTCGTGGTGTGCTGAGCGACACAGCGCAATTAAATTATTGAACTTATTTAATTGAATTGCAATAATATTAGAAGTCATGAACATCAATTTTATTTTGAATACTTCACAGTGCAATATTTTATTTATTTCGGGAGAGCGCTAAAAAATTTTAATTACTTGGGTCATTCATATATAAATTTTGACTCATTCCGTTTCTCAATGCTGGATTCGACTGATCCGAGTAATTGAATTGAATAGTAAATAACGATTACGCATTATATTAGACGATAATACACCCCCGGCATTTGAATATAATTTTTTCATAGCGAGAGCACGCTTTTACAGATTGTAATTCACCTATATTAATTTCCTAATTTAAATTGCCTTGCTTACCATATGAATCAAATACTAACATTTGTTATAATTGCTGGCTCAACAATTAGTAAATGGTATAAATTTTCATATTTGTTAATAAGATAACGGAAGGGAGGTATAGATAGGATGTATCACATTTTAGTCACCTCTAGTATTTGAGTTGCTCTCTCCAGCCTCCTGACGGCTATAGGCAGCGAGTCGTGATCCTGCAGCAGCGAAATCACGCTTTCCAGCTCCTTCAGTATCTGCTTGAACCACAGCTCGTACACTGCACACACCCCGAGGCGCAGATTTGAGAATATTTCACACGCAGCACACAGCATATTATTCTAAAAAACAGCGCACACTATATGACTGACAGCACTTTTAAAAGTGTTATGTTAATAGTGGTCCATGAGATAAATTGAAGGAGCGAAGTATATTAATGAATCAAAGTATTGTAATTATGACCTAAGTAAAAGTATTTTAACTCAAATTTATGAACGGTTAATAGGCAGAAATAATTTTAAATGGTTATATTATAAATCACTCGCTTACCCTGATGCACCGTGATAAACAGGTGCTCATCGTGGCACAGGTTACCCTTCTTCTCAGTAACAGGCTTCTGCAGACTCAGTAAGGTGTCGACCTCAAGGTAAGTTCTGTAGTGCATTTCTTGGTTGTCAGCACCGCCTTTAGTCCTGTGTTTCATCACAAAAAAAAAAAATAAATGATCATTTGAAAATAAAATTAAGCTAGTGACGTAAAATTAGTGTACTTGTTTACACTAATTTACATATAAATTTCCTAATTTAAATTTTCTTGCTTACCAAATGAATCGAATACTAATTAGTGTTATAATTGCTGGCTCAACGATTAGTACACTTCTTTTCAGTAACAGGCTTCTGCAGACTCAGTAAAAAATGCATTGCAATGTTGAAATTAAGGATGTCATAGGAACGATTGGGTCCTTATATATGTACTGCATCACAACGTTTGTTTAATATATTTTTGCCAAACCATCGCTATGAAGCTTAATTAAATCAAGGATGGAAACTTCCGAGTTGTCTTAGGTGATGAAAAAGAAGAACTAACAAGATAATATTGAGCGAAATTAATTACAGTGAATCTTATCAATAAAATAATCAACAACGCGCTATATTTACACTCTAACAAACTAGTTTTTGACATAAATTTTAGAATAAATCTCTTTTCTCTGGCTGACGATATTTATGGACGCATTAAAAAAAATTGTCTCTCATAGACCATTATTTGCACCATTGTCATAATAATTAAATAATAATAGTAGTAAAGTGGTAATAATTTCAGCGATTTGTTAGCCATCACTGATTTAAAGCTATAATAAAGTGCACCCATGAGAACGAGTATTGCAATGTAAACAATGAAATGGAAACTTACGATTCCGATGAATTCATGAAAGGACACGCCATGGCAGTGAAGTCAAACGAATCTTCAAAGTTTAAATAGTCGTTAATCCAAGAAAATCCTGAGAGCTGCAAGTTACGACTTGTTGGGCAATGGAAGTTTCAAAGCACACTGATGGCTCGCCTGGCTGACCGAAGCGCTTTTATAGCCGCTGCAGTCGTTCGAGGCAGACCACGAACGAACAAACGTATAGCTACGACGTGAGTGCCAATACTTCTCTCAAAATGTGGTGCAATGTTGACTCATTTTCAATATTTCATTTATGATAAACTTATTAAACATCAATACGCAGAAGCGGTGATATGTTTCACTCGTAGTCAGGTGGTGCAGCCTTTAGCCTCGCCTTGTGATACGGTATAACGTCATTAAACCTCAGATGGTGATATTTTGGTGCACTATTGAAAGTTACCTGGCGATACTTTTGTGTGTTGTTGAAAGTGTGCGGTTGATAATTCGGCGTAATATTAAACATCAGAATGTGATACGTTATTGATGTATAAAACGTCAGTTGGCAATATTCAGCATTAAATGCCAGATAATAATACGTACGTTGTTGGACGATTAACACAGAGTGGTTGTGTGGTTTTAAGCTGTTTAGTGACTATTAGTGACACATACGTTGGTGCATTACTTTATGCTAGATGATGCAGTTTTTAATACATGAATAAGAACAGTAGTGACGATGAGTAGCTCTATATGACGTGCAATTAGCTCTCGGTTGGGGAGATTGAGTGACGATGAAAGCTGTGTGACGTGCAGTTAGCTCTGAGTTTGGTTGATTGAATGACGAATAATATCTCTGTGTCGAACGATTAGCTCTGTTTTGTAGGTTGAGTGACGGTAAAGCTCTGTGACATGCGTTTAACCCTCGGTTGAATTGGATGTCAAAACTGCGCAAATTTTTTTTCAGTTTCTATGAACTTTGATACGACATTGTCTTTAATCTTCACCGTTAATAATAATTGCAATATATAGAATAGGGTGGAAATATACACACAGAAAGATGTTAGGTTGAAATCATCACCCACGTTGAAAACAGTCGCATATGCTCATTTAAGCACTATTAAGTTAACATTTCTCAAACGCGTTTGCTTGATAACCTCAATGATCTCTCTCTGTTTTTTATCAACGTCCGGGACGTTAGGACAGGAAACAACGAAGATTCGTGGCAGCATCACGCGACGGCCCCAAATAAACGCATTTGGCGTAACCTGATGTAAGCGTTCGTCTCACGACGAGAGCTTGTCAGACGTCAATCCATATTGCATGGCTATGCCCCCCCGCCACGCAATAATATAAGAAAATATTATTTTGTGGATGGTGCATTCATTGCATGTTACTTTCATTGTATGGTACTTTCATTGTACGGCACTTTTACTGTATTGGTTGATTGCAAACTTGTTCAATAGTGTTAAAATTGTATAATGTGATACGCAACTGTTACGGTGGGATGCAGGATGTTGTGGCTACGTGAAGTAAGTGGATCGTTGCAGTGGCGCCTTGAAGTGATTGATAGCAGTGGCGGAATGAAGTGACTAGATTTAGTGGCGGAATGAAGTGACTAGATTTAGTGGCGGAATGAAGTGACTAGATTTAGTGGCGGAATGAAGTG